TCTTAATAGTCTGCAAGCCAAAAAGAAAAAGAGTACTTGATTCGTTGAATTGTCTTTTTCTCACCGAGGTGGCCGGCAAGAGGGATTTCGTGTGCCATTCTTAGGAACTTCCCTTTCTAAAGGCAACACAATTTTCTAAAGGTAATTCACACATATATAATGCTTAATGTTTTCACCACAGATATATTCGGAATGAAGTAATATGCCATCATCGAAAAGCATATGAATTTTGATTTTTATTTGCCCATTCAAAACGCATTTTTCGAGAGTCTCGTCTTGTTCTTGATGTGCTCTTGAAATTCTAGTCTTACCTTTGTTCGTGTTTTCAGAGACTCTATGTTTCTTGGGAAATCTGATTAACAACAGCCAAATTTGTAGTAATGTCTTCAACTGGTGAGGGTTTATCATCTGTCTCTTTGTACTCTAAGGGGGAGCATCCCAATGACGATCACAGTTCCACAGTTCGATATTTCCACAGAGTGTTTCATAAGCTGAAGAACTCAGTAGCAAGTCGGTAACTAGCTTTTTGAAACAGCACACGTAATGGACACTCTACCGTGAAAATCATCGTCAATTTTCATCTGGAAAATCTTTAGTGGAGTAATTTCGTTTTCACCAAAAGCAGAAGATATCTCTATTTTACTTTCTCCTTCGCAAGGTATGTTGTCAACCAATTTCTCACGGACTACTGAAATTTGTGCTCCCGTGTCTACGATTCCCATTTAGAATAATATCTCCACATTTAACTTTGACCAGTTTTAATTCATCTATGTTTCTAGATACGTCCACTGATTTTGAGACAGGAATAGAGATCTTGGCAGTTAGCACTTCTGGTTTTTTCTTTTTCTGCTAGGGGTGCTTGTGTTTGTATTAAGTTGTTTTGTGCTGTTGCAGAAGCACTTCTTGGTATCCGATTTTGGTACATAACTTAGATGTATGACCTTCTTTTCCACAATTATAGCAAGTTAATTTGAAATTAGTCTTTTGTGGTTCGTCACTCTTACGGGATGGGTACACTCTTGGCGTGTTTTCAGCGTACAGCGATTTATTTCTGAAAGCTCTTTCTGGAAGTGGAGAACGAGGTTGCCATTTTTTATTAGTTCTGTCTGCTGATGGATTACCACCATTCTGTTTTGAGATATTACGAACACTGTCATATTCGTCAAGTTTATCAGCTAATTTGGTTGGAGAAACGAACTTTCGCCACTAGTCGTCAAGAAGATGGTCTCTTACTTTGATGAGGGTACTCTTTTCTTAATTTGGTCAGTGATAATCAGTCCTTTTAACGCGGCAAAATTTGTGATTTCAAGACCATTGATCCATTCTTCAAAATAACTTGTAATTTCGTAGCAAAAATCTCTCCATGATTTTTCAGCGCTCTTTTGGTGCATCACAAACTTTTTTCTAAAGCTTTCAGGATTTAATTCAAATCTCTTCAATAAATGGCCTTAATGTACTCATAATCTTCAAAATTTTCTTCAGATTCCCTACCAATTAATGTTGAATGAGATTTCAGATGGCATTAAAGTCAATAAACATGAAACCCAATCTTTAGGATCAATCTTTGGGTCCTTTAGCTTTGTTCTTTCAAATAAGCTTGATAAATAAATCACAATATCAATCGTGTCTTTAAATTGAATTTAGGGAATAAGCTTAATTAAATCAAAATTATGATTGTCCATTTTCATTTGTTGGTGGAAGTTTGTTGTTAGTCGAACACGAGATTCAATTTCGAGTTTCTTCAATTCAAATTCCATTTGCTCTCTTTTCTGCTGTGCTTCTAATTCTTCTTTCCTTCGTCTTTCCTCAATCTCTTCTTTTCTTTTCCTCTCTTCAATAATCGTTAAAAACACTTCTTTAGCAAATGCTTCATCATATGTATCACTTTGAATTATTTCATTTTTTATCGCCACGATTTTCATACTTGGATCTACTTGAATTTCTAATTCAGCAGCTAAAGCCAGCAAATCCTCTTTTTTCCCACGTCCCATAAAAGCCATGTCTCGATTTTATTCAGCCAATAGACTCTTAGTTTTATGAAAAGCTATTTTTTTCTATTTAAATATAATTCACAATGAATTTAATTTTATTCGACACGAAAATCAATCAGTAGAATCAATACTTAATGTGTTGTTCACCTACTCTGGCGAGTCAAACGAAATTACATTTGAACACTGGCGTTCATTCTTTGAAAATTACATTTGAACACTGGCGTATTCATTACTTTGAAAATTACATTTGAACACTGGCGTATTCATTACTTTGAAAATTACATTTTGAACACTGGCGTATTCATTACTTGAAAAAATTACATTTGAACACTGGCGTATTCATTACTTTGACAAGTAAATAAACTAAGATTCCATGACGGAAACAATAATTAACTTTTCATAATCTTAATTAACTATTTTACGTTTCCAAGGTAAATTGAGCTCTCACCTGAGTTATTTTGGTTCGTAATTATATGCGGGGAAACTCCGATCCTGTCGACTGCGCCAGTAAAAATCCTTTCCTTATTTCAATATACTGAATATTGAATCTTGTAGGAAGAATAAAGCTAATTTTTCAGAATAAACAAAATACTTTTATTTAAATTTTAAAACAGAACCAAAAAAAATAAATAAATAAATACTGCAGCTCTAAACTATCAAAATTTTAAACTCTTAACTACTCAGTTAAAACTCTTACAACTATTAAAATATTTCAAAATCCATTCAACTCTCTAAACAAAAATATATATAAAAATCTTTCGAATCCTCTTCTTGTTGCCACACCGTAAAATGCAAGTTCTTGTCCTATTATTTATATTTCACGTTCTCTTTAAGTCACGATCTTCACAAGTCATGATCTTTACAAGTCACGATCTTTACAAGTCCCGATCTTTACACCATGGTACAAACATTGTTCTTCGATGGTGATGGTGTCTTCCAAGACGACAAAGCCCCTGTTCACACAGCTCACATTGTCCAGGACTGGTTTTCTGAGCACGAGGATGAGTTGTCCCATCTCCCCTGGCCACCACAGTCACCAGACCTGAATATTATCGAACCTTTGCGGTCTACATTGGAACGGAAAGTGCGTTCTCGTTATCCACCGCCAACATCGTTATCTGAACTTGCCACCGTTTTGCAGGAAGAATGGTATAATATTCCCTTGGCAAACATACAGGAACTGTATTTATCCATTCCGAGAAGACTGCAAGCTGTTTTGGATGCCATATTAAGCAAAGAAACATGTTTTTTTAAAGGTGTTTCCATATTTTTGTCCAACCCCTGTATGTAAATCATAAATTAACTCTTTATTTAAAATAATAGGAATCTTACAGAACCTCATTAAAATCTTCCAGTAGCTTTAATCAGTACTCTGCGAGAAGCTTCTACAACAATACAACAGTACCATAAAACAAGCTCCAATAAGCTGTGGACCACGATTACCATGACGATTGGAAACACAGGAAAAAGGATTAACATTAACCGTTACTAAAACTTAAATGTCATATATTGCAAAACCCGACATGTTGTTTGTCAGCTTTATTATTAAGCATAATTTTTTTCGGGCTTACGCTGAATACAGCAAAATTTCAAAAATATACTTTAGCAATCATCATAGCATGCAATCATTTCTAAAGTATATAAATATTTAATGTTTATAGCTGGTTTCTTATACATTCAGGTCTACACTTACTGTAGATGCGCATCCTGAAAGAAATTTAAAAGATGACAAGTGTGAGCAAATTACGTAAGTTTTGGAGTCTTAAATACGGTTGTCATAGTAACAAAAATTGTTTATTTTCACTTCCTTGTACGAAGTAAAAAAGAAGTATTGTAATTCCGAAAAGTTTCAGGCAGTATATTTCAACGAAAATATCTATTTTGAGCGCTATCGAATGCAATTTAACGAAGGTTTTGCGTGATATCTGTACGTAAGGGCAGAATAAAAGACTCGTTTCCTCCAAAAAAATTATAAAACAGCTTTAACATTAATTCTGAAGAGAATTTTTCGTGGCGTCTATAAAAACGTATGTACGTACATACGTATCTCGCATAACTCAAAAACGAGTAGCCTCAGAACGTTGAAATTTTGTGTATAGGACTGCTATAACATGTAGATGTGCACCTCGTATTTTGGTTGCAATCGGCCGCACCAAACATATATAAATATATTTATATATATATCCACTCTGTTACCCGGCTCAGTGATCTCAGTTTCTTTACTCTTATATGTTTGTAAATTGTTCATTTTTTGCTTTAAAATGATTGAATTATGTTGTTTTTATCTTCCGGTTAAGGATTTTACGCCTTTAGTAAATCTGTATGCAATATTTTTAGAATTATCAACAATTTTAAAGTTGTTTAAGTGCCGCTAAGCCTTTTTCTATGGCGGCCATTGATTGTTTATATTTAAAACAGCAGACTAGTGGATTTGTTGCCAATGTAGAGAAATTAGCTTCGCAACAACAAAATAACGCCTTCATGTATTATTGCCAATTAAATCATTCTTAATTAATGCAACGATTAGATAATTATATTCTTTAAATGATATAAATTTTGTGCATTATGAGTTATAATATGAACGAAATATAATACCGTTAAGTGAATCTAGCGCCAGAGCGTCGCTATGGTAAACAAATACTAGAGTGAATTTTAAAGAATGCATTTATTCTATTGTTGTTACGTAATGCCGTCAATAAACTTCGGAAGATATCCACGAGACAGTTTTATGAATAACTTTATTGAATGAACACGAGACTTTTAATGTATTAATGTTTTAATGACGCGAGTTTTATGTATCCTTTTTTTTTGTGGATGGCATCAGTTTTCGGAGTTGCCATGCACTTTCTAATCCGTGTTTGCTTAGTGATAGAAGTGTTCTATGAATTTAATGTTGATACGAATATGAATTGAGTTATATATTGTATTTGTGTTCTGTTCATTGAATAATATACTAGTTCGTGCTTTAATGTGAAAATACTGATGTCAAGTGTTAACAAAGTTGTTTATTCGTCAAGAAACATCTGCAGAATTCAAGTAGATAAGATTTATTTTTTTTCTATAAATATTGAAATTGTAAACAGATATTCTAATAGTAGACTCACTGTGTCTAATTATTGTTAAGGTATTAATCACTTAATACGTATATTAAGAACCTGTGCAGAACAATCGTTGACGGGTAGTCACGGCGTAGTTTTGATAATTTTCGATAATATTTTCGTTACACTTGTGGTTTATGCGCTATCGGCGAAGTAGATTTAATAATAATATTTAAAACCAGAAAGTGAGTCATAATGTACTCGTATGTGATTTTTTAAGGGTCAGTAATTTCAATATAACTTTGTATTTAATGCAACAATCATAGAAATGTAACGAAAATTTTCCTTATTGTGCATGCGTACAGTGTATATAATAATTTTACCTTAATTTTAATTTTTAACTTAAATCAACTTAAATCAATTTAAATAAATATTATTAAAAACCTTTTAACTTAAATCAATTTAAATAAGCATTATAAATTACTTTTTAGCTGAAATTAATTTAACATAAACCATATTAATAACTTTTAACTTAAAGATATTTTTTAACTTAATTTTACGTGAAGCTTTGAAATCGCTAGCTATATAAATAACTTAAATATGAATTTATGCGTTCTGTTAAGATTTACGCGGTCATTAAGAGTAAAAAATGCTTATGAAGCATAATTTGTTTCGAAAACGATGAAATGAATTAATTTAAACATTTATCTTCCCACAAACTCAATTTGACATATATTCAAAGTTCACAATTAATTGTGAACTATCAGACAGCAATAATGAAATATCGAAAAGGATGAAACAAGCTATTTAGAATATGTTTCCTCGTTGATTATCTTAATGCCAGTCATCACCTTCCATAATTAAGACGTCCAGGAATAACCGTTGCTCGTCGAACGTCACACGGACTGGAAGTTCCTGCAAAAAATATGTCAAATAAATTGTTATTGCATACGTAAAAATGCTCTTCATAATAAAATATAATCGAAATTATTTATATAGCAAACTAGAAGCGTAATACCAGTCAAATACATGTATCAAATAAATCAAATACAAAATATATTTTATGGTTTATTCCGTACATTTTGCACAAATTATGGAGCACTACTCTGATAAAGCGTTTGGCACAATGCTCATAACGAACACCCAGTTTAATATTGCTGCAAATACTACAACCAAAAACGTAACCAAAAATTTTCTTGCCGTTTTGGGACAGTCAGAAAGAAAAAGTCATAAAACAAATAATAATCACCACTAATCCTCAAAGAAGTCACCATCGGCATCCAGTGCCTCATGGCAACGAGTGGCTAGCTGTGCGATCCCATCGCGGTAAAACTCAGGAGCCTTCGAGATTAAATGTCAAAGTATTTTAGGTTTTAATGTATGACAACATGTCGGCGCGTGGAAGATAAAAAATATTTTATTTCATGACGCGGCGACGCCCTGTAGTCAGAGCCAAGTTTGCTAGTTAAAACTGAAAGATAAATACGTTACATTTTACCGAAAGGCAAAAGTCTCGCTATCTAGAAACAAAACTGCTTTTTTTTTTCGAATAGAGTTGCAACTTCTCGTTTTCAAATCGTTGAATTTTTTTTAATTCATTAAAGATTTAGGAAATATAAAAGAATATTAAGACAAATTTTAAATTCTAGCTTTCAGCTGCACATGTTAGGGTGGAGAACTACGTTATTCAAAATGTAACGGCTCGAGATACCAAGTTTTTCACAATGCAAGGAACATACGTACATACATACATACATATATACATACATAGATGAAGGTTCTTCTTTATTTAATTTCTTCAAAAATAAAACAGGGCGATAATATTTGATGGCAAAAGTTTGAAAAATGATGCGCTATTTACAGTGAACCAACGTAAAATCCCATCCTTAGACTAATCACCCCTTTTGGGCTATTAATAAATTATCGGACTGGCACTAAACTAAAGGAATGGTTCCACTAAAATGATAATATATGAATGGAAATCTCGTTGTTAGGTAACGCACCAAAAGTATGAGTGATTATTCCTAAAGTCAAAAAACATAGTATGGATGATACCTCTTTTGTTTCAGTTGCAAAGAATGTTGGTTGTTTATTACTCAGAATTATCCTATAATATTTGCCTTAAAAGAGTTTGTAAGGCAAATATCCAGGTTGGACAAATTCAAAATTCTTTCTCTAAAAGCCTTCTTGATATCTTAATTAATATTTCTATGTACAGATAGCAGAAAGACTCAAGATAATTCGCAGAAAGAACTTGTTTAGATCAGCGAAACTTTTAAATGAAATAGACACTAAGAGACATACCATTAGTTCATTGTTATTTTAGCAGGCCGTAGATAGAACATCAAAAACAAAGTAGGCGCAAAACACATTCACACTCGTTATTATAAAAATGTACCACTAATGAGAATATATGTTGACAAAAAGATACAAAAGGGAAATTTATCTTGAAAAATTAAGAAATTAAGTTAATGACTTCTAAAATTTTGTGCATTATGGCTAAACTATACCATATTATTTGCGTCTAATAGTATATTCATCAGCGATATTACATAATTAAGATATGAAAAACATTAATTTAGAAATGTATTATTTCAGATACATTAGGTTTTTTGAATCAGGAGACACCATAAATTTTCAATGCCGTCATCGGGACTCCAATCTGGACCTCTCGAATACGCGCCGAGTGTGCTACCGTTACACCACGAAGGCATGCAGAAAGGAGAAAATAAATTATATAATCCTTGGGCGTGGTTTGTTATGATCATAACACCAACTTGTATTGCTAGGTGAGTCGGGCTGCGCTCACTTCTGGTAGCTTACATACTCTCCCTTTTAAGGGGCGACTGGGGATTAGGGGACTCAATCACCAAATCTTGGTGATGAAGAATCATCATCCAACACCTTTTAGTTCGAGCGCCTGTGAAGACAAGCCTCCACATTTATTCAACATCAAGTCTGTTCACTGCGACCGCTCAATGGCAGAGCGAAATTGACGACTACAACCGGTTTCTCCTCCTTCTGCTGCTGGACTCCGGAGGTGTAGGACGGTTTCTAGCCGTTCTCACCGCGAATGACGCGTCTCCGCAATTTGTGTTCTTTTTCGTTTCTTTTCTGACGCCATCTCCATATAGTTTGAAGAGAATGCATTTCGCCTAGAAAATGGAAATTGGTACTGAAGATTCAACTAAATTTATCTAGATGCTGACTTCTGCAGTAAATTAATGATGTTCTACGACTTGAAATATCCTCGAAAGGACTTCATGTGCACGTGTTACACCTTCCTGATGGTACGGAAATTCGCCTTGTGTAAAAATATATTGGAATAACCAGTCAACTCAATATCCTCCGTTATAAAAATTTGATTTTTGTTATCATGAAACTTTGCTTAACGAAGATGAACTGAGATTTACTTTGATTGGAATATTACGCATTTCTTGTACGAAAGGGTAGGATTCAAAATGGTAGGACTGTTACTTACTGCATCTGTATGATCACAGTCTATTATCTTCTGTCTGGCGATGTTTTCTTGATTTATGCTGGTATTAATTTAAAATTTCACTATGTCAAGATATAATAAATTTCTCTTAATTCACATTATTTGAAGTGTCATCCTTTGGGGGTAAGTTACTTTAATTTGATATTACTTTATAGATCACACATTCCATCATTACATTTGATACATCATTTTTATTACAGCGCCACTGTAGAGACATAAGGATATTTTTATGCTGGAGTCGTGAAAAATGTGCATTGCTCTCTCCGGGACTCGAATCTGGACTTGTCGAATGCACGTCCAGTTTGCTACCGCTACACCCCGAAGGCAAGCAGAAAAGAGAGGGAAAATATCATATATTATATCAAATCTTTAAATCTAAACATAGATTTATGGAAAGGAATAAATGTGGTGTAGTAAAGGAAAACACACACACACAAAAAAAAAAAAAAAAAAAAAAAAAAGAATTCGATATAAGAGAAAAGAAATTCAAAGGGGAAAAAAGTTCTTATTTCTTAACATCTTTCCAGCAGGTTGTGCCAGGAAAAAAATGAAGCAGAACAGACATGTTTTTATTCTACATATTAAGCAAAATGACAATTTCAGAAATTATATATTGATTCCCAAGTAATAGATTGCATTATTTTACATATAAATTAATTCTTAATTAACGTAATCCAACACTTACATGTCTGTAAAATAAGACTGCAACATTTTGCAATTTTTTATAACGGTAGCAACAAATGTAATGAAATAAAAATTATTACAATCTATAGAAGAAAAATATTTTATGATATTAAAACTGAATCACGTCTTTTATATTTTAGTGCAAAATAATCAAGTGAGGAATTTAGAAAGTTGATTGAATAACTATGTTGTTGCTGTGAAAGTTGAGTTAATTGCTGAGTAATTATGTGGTATGCTATTATTGCTGGTGGACTAATTATGTTTTATAGTCAAGTTAATACATTTACAAATTACTTCAACTATAAACTGGATACGTTAGAAAAGGGGAAAATGTGAAATAGTAAATTACGTCACTGGTTCTGCTGGCAAACCAAACATGCTCCAGCCTTTAACCAGATTTTATATGAAAACGGCCAAGTTCCACGCAGGCCGCTAGTGCAAAAATCACATAGAATGTCATATCGTGTATTGGTAAAAGCCTTTTAAATGTCAAAAAATGTTTAAACTAAATGCTTTCTTTTGATAAAGGTTTAAGGATGGAAATTTCCTGGAAAGGGAGATTTCCATAGTCGCCTTTAGCGAAACTACTTTGATGGCGTATCATGGTTCTTATTCAACGCATCTGATGACCACACTTACATAACTGTAGATAAATGGATAACAGTTTGTCCAATGCTATTCAAATCAGAACTTAATGACAGACTAGAACAATATTCCAGGCAACTTCATCGTAAAGGGTACGATATTGTTCAAGAAATTGTGCCTACATTATCTTTCAATTCTAATAGATATTGTCTTGTGTCTCGAAAGAAAAAGAACTATCTAACTACCATTGTCACCAGTATAAGAGAAAATTAATGGAAAAAAAACTGAAAGGTTTCAGATTTTAATTAGGTGTTTAAACATTTTGTGTAGTAAATTTATTTATTAAATATCATGCTCTTCGCACTTAAACCATAAAATTAAGTTCAACTACAATATCGCAAAATAATTTTAAAATGAGCATATCTTTAGAAATTCCAATACACAGTCTCGCGTGATGAAGTTAAAAATGTTTCTCTTCCCGCACAGTGTTGCCATTGCTCACTTTGAAATCCTTGAGATTTTTAATCAAAAAGTTTTAAAGGAGAAGAAATGTAAGATTATGAAAAGAAAAAACATGAAATTACTCACCTGCCATTATCATAGTTTCATTAAATTCCGTTCTCAAAATCTGTAAGACTGTTTTCACACCATGTGAACCCTTTTAAAAATTACGTAAAAGTGAATAAGGTAAGCGCTTTTATTGAAATTATATTCAAAAAATGATTTTCATTTACATAATATATATTGGAACAGTGATAACGTAAATATGCTATTTTACTCGAAAAAATAATACAGTATCTAAATTTGACAATTAAATAAATTAAACAGAAGTATACAAAATTAAATCAAACGCTTATTGTATATAAATTCAGATGAAATTTTTTAACATGTAGGTAAATTCCAAGAATACATATAATATAGTAAAAAATCAGAATACAATTGTTGAAACAGATGAAAAATAACAACATGGTACAATTAAGCATCAAATATTATGAAAAATTCCAACAATACTGGCACGCAAGAGATAAAAATCTGTGTAAGTTTTTTTTTTTTTTTTTTTTTTTTTTTTTTTTTTTTTTCTGCTTCAGAATACCCTCCTACACTTGAAGCTTTCAGCGCTCGGTATCTGTAAGGTCACTTTCGAAGTTTGATTGATAAAGTATTTTGCACTTATGCTTCATTTTCGGCTTTTTCTGCTTACTTTGTGTAAGTATACGTCTTTTAGAATTAATTTCGAAGTTGATGAATGATGTATTGTATTTGACAACGTTTCGAACATTATTGAACTTTTCAATACGGTGGGTACAGAATTTTAATTTTCTTCACATTTTCATAGCACCTCATAAACATATATGGTTTTTCACTAATAGGTCACGATATTAGTATTAATAGTATGAGATAAATTAAGATTACACATCATTTATTCATCTGCATGTTGGAGCGCATTACAGTAATGTCGCATTTTGTGTTGAGCTCTCAAATTCAAAGCATTTTTATAGAATTTAAATCTGCGCATTTTTTAGATGGTAATGGTATGACGCTATATATCAGCGGAAACTGGAACCCATTCACTTACCCTGTGAATTAAGTTCCGTTTAAAAGATAAGTCTTTAGTTGGAAGCTGGACTCTGGTATGCAAGAACTGATTTTATATGATTCATGGTTTTAAAATATGTCAACATTCATGCCACTATATTTATTTAATTTTTAACATGAAAGCATGAAGATGTCTACCATGAAAGGTGTTATCAAGAATATCCATAATGCTGAAAGAACAGTGTTGTTTTCGTGGTTACTATGCAGTCTCACAGCCAAATTTAACAGCACAGAGCGGAGAAGCATGAAGCGAAAATTTTATTAAAATACCTCCTTATGTTTACATGTTACAGATTTATTCATCATCCAACTTGAATACGGGACCACAAACAATTATGCCAGAAATTACTTCCAACACGCTTGCAGAAGTGATAAGAAGTGTTAAATGTTGTATAGGATTATTTGTCTCCCTTTTTAATCAGTTTCATGTAATCAATCCCGTTTTAATCAGTTTGTTCATGTAATCATCATTTATTATTGGCTATTGAAGATAATTTCTTCTTCAAGCATATATTCTCATTCGACATCATTTCTGAAACGTGTTTTAATTTTAATGGTATAAAATAAAACCAAATATATATGCGGAACCTTGAATGTGCAATAAGATAAAATCAACGAAGATTATACTGAAGGAATTGAAATTAAATGTTTTCGTTTCCTTATTAGAAATGATTTCATTCCTTTACCCAAGAAGATGTCCTCTTATTGCATTCATTTTGTTTCCATACTATGCATTTTTGAAATTCCTAATATTAGCATCATACGGCAACTTTAACATCTACCTGCATATAATTTAGTTGATTTCACTAAGCTTCTCGTGTTTTATATGCCTGTGTATATGTGTGTTCGCATGTCATAGTCCAAGCTACCTATACATACAAGAACTACCGCTACAATTACTTTACAAATATCATGTTTTATCGTTTACACCATATCCTAAAACAGCATAGAACTGCTCAACTTATACGTCTTTTCATTTGTGCCCATATATGATTTATGTGTTTTAACTGTTTTATGTATTTAATATAAGTGTTTGAATAATTCCATTCTTTAATATTCATTTCACGCGTCTAAACGTTATTGATATGCTTATATGTGCTTTATAAATTTATAAATTTTGGGGCCAATGTGCATAATTTATTTTCGAATGTCAATTCCAGGAGGACATTGTACTATGCTATATATAGATTTTAATTCTTATTTATTTATTTTTTCTTATTCCATCAACGTTATCCAACGAGCTGAAGAGCACCTAACCCAGAGGCCAGCTGTTCTGTCGATGGCGAAAAAGATAAAAAAGTACCATATATGATAAAATTATGAATTGCATGGTTTAAATCTTCCATTTAAATAGAGTAAACGCTGACAAAAGTAATAATTTTATAAATCGAGAAGTATTCTGCATTCTATTTGATTTATCACTCAAAGCAGAAATACTTTGACAGATATTTTTCCTCTCGTACTTTAAAGTACAAAAACTTTATTTATTTAGCTGAAAGTTCTTCCCATTTAATTTAAATTACCTTACTTTAAGTTAAATTTAAAGGTCAGTGTATAACATAAATTTCATTTACATATTTCTTTAGATTCATGTGCTCTAAAATCCGAGATGGAATGTATTTTAACTCTGGAATCATACTCTAAATATCGCTAGATGTTAAATAACTTCCTCTTTTGTGAAACATGATTTATATTACAGTTTTAATAATATACATATTACAGGAAAAACTCATTCTATGCATTTTTTGATTGATTAAACATTTGTCGAAAAATGGGATTGATACATATTTGTATGCCACCTATTAGTTTGATACAAATATAAAGAAAAACAAAAAAATTAATAATTCGAAAAGTATCGATAGCATCACCATGTGGTTTTCACAGAAACACACAGAAATGAATGTGCATATGTCTGTGTGTTTCTTCTGTAAGAAGGAGCTTTTTAAATTCTATTCTACTACAAGAATAATTGTAGTTTTCATTTACAGTGATTGTGAAAAATTTATGTTGCAGCTTAGTTTGAGACGCAGATAGGATTACAAATGCTCAATTGGAATGTTCAACCCGTTCATGAGAATGGCCGTCAAACATGACACTACGCCCCCATATTGTATCGAAGATTTTTCAGTTGTAATTTCTGTCACATAATGGCGAGTAACGTTTACCATTTACATCTTTTCACTTCTGGCATACATTTCTCAGAATTTTAACTAATTCAATCTTTATACGCCTTATACCACTCGCGGTAGTTTAAAACATAAGGGTGTGAATAGCATCTCTCACCCGAAGGCGAAAATAAAAGTCTGAAAGTCCGCAATCTGTCTGTTGTGGCAAGTCAAGGTAGGCATCACATCACAAACTAAGCATTAGTTCAAATTTTTCTAAACGTTCTTTTTAGCACAGTCTTAGTGAGAAATTCAAGTAGGATTTATCTTAGGATAATTTCTTAATATTAAATCTTCCTGAAATCGCCGCGTTGGGTTACTGAGAGAATTTCGAAAGTCACATGAGAGCAGCGACAAATGAAACTGCGTGCCACATTAATACACGTTGCTGTGGAGTGATGCGTGGGTGTGATGAATTTATTATGTTAATGAACACATTAATACACGATTAAGACTAGCAAAAATCTTTCGCCTGTCCGCCAGGCACTAAATCCATAAGCTTATAAGGTATTTCTCCCACTTTCCTAGCGTCCTTCGTGGTGTAGTGGTTCTGCACACTGAGCCGGTATTTCAGAGGTCCGTGGTTCGATTCCCGGCGAAGGCGTTTGCTAATCTTTCATCTTGCTGGCCTCTAAAAAAATCCTAATGACTCTACAAGTGGCGCCCGAACTAAAAGGGTTGTGGATGATGGTTCTCCGCACCCAGGATTTGGCGACTAGGTCCCCTAAAACCCTAGTCGCCCTTTAAAAGGGGGAGTATATAAGGTATTTCTCCCACTTTCCTAGCGTCCTTCGTGGTGTAGTGGTTCTGCACACTGAGCCGGTATTTCAGAGGTCCGTGGTTCGATTCCCGGCGAAGGCCTTTGCTAATCTTTCATCTTGATGGCCTCTAAAAAAATCCTAATGACTCTACAAGCTTAGCCAAAGCATTAATAACAAATAAGTAAATAAGTATCTTGGTTAAATAAGTGTAGATTATATACGCAATATTTGAAGAATAGCACAAAAAGTCTATGTAACAATAACAGAGTCCACTTTCTTGGTCGAACTATGTGCAATATATACAGTCATCACTTCGTTTTATAATGAGTAGACCGGGGTCTTTTCATCATTCACGAGTAACGTCTTTCAGTGTGGAGAGTAAAATAGGCCGATGTCCGTATACCTAGGATTTCAAGTAAGAATGTAACTACACTAACAATAAAATGTTTATTAAATAAAAAAAATCTATGTTTTCCTGTGCATTTCTGTCAAAGGCAGATAGTGCTACTCTCGACAGTTTTCAAATTATTGAATTTTGAAATAACTGGTTCTTCTGGTCGACCCGGTATTTTCCAGTTTCCTACAATCAGTATTAGCTAAGAAGAAATTCAGAAATATTCTATTAAAAGTGACAGAATGTGGGTACATATGCATGAATATCACTTACAGCCCATGCTAAACCCCATATTGTAGGCCTTCCTATGAACGCCATTTTTGCTCCCATAGCTAAAGCTTTAAAAACGTCATTACCGCTACGAATTCCGCCGTCGATGTAAACTTCTCCTCGAGGATTAATCTGATTCACTGCTTCAACAACATCGGGAAGAACATCAATCTGTAATAAAAAATTTTCGTGATTAAAAACCACAGTTTATTTAAATTGAACTGAGAGCTGGGTATAAGTAATGAAGAGTTAAAGTGTTTTACGACGATAACTTTAATTTCAACAATTCGAATACAGAATGATTTTATGTGTTATGCGTATTATTAAAATTAAATTAAGTACAAATAAAATTAAGATATCTCTGATTAGAAACGAAACAATAGATGTTTTCCGTTTTTGCGAATAAATTAGGAAACATTCAATGTTTAGAAACTATAGTATTTCAAAATGTGTTAGTTCCTCAAGATTATATACCATACTTTCTTTTTTCACTAAAATATATGATAAAAAGCTAAAGACTGAATTGCCGTTTAATTCTCAATTTTAATGTTTATATTTTCCCTTTGAGCACGAAAAATAATAGCTGTTGATAATAAACTCCTTTAAACTGTGCCATTTCAAAATTAATAGCTGTTATATGATTCTTACGTAAACCTCTGATTAAGATAACTTTATAAACCTTCTCCTAATGATAATTTTAGAATGCTATTAATTAATCAGTCTTAACATGTCGAAATTAAAACTAGCTCAGTTAGAAGCATCTTCTGTTCCACGCTTTAATTTTTAATAGATTATATTTTCATTGTCTCTAATGTTAACGTTATCTCCTTAAAATTCATTTCAAAATTTAATTGGTATCAATGTAGTTTTTAAAGAGCAAGTGCCTATTGCGTCCATTTAATTGTGCTGTCTTATTAAAATATTTAGCCAATGATTATAAGAGGAAGTATTTAAATCGGCCATGAAGGTGAGTTTCTTCTTTATGCACTTTTTACGTCAACAACTTTTCTAAAAAAATAATTTCTCTGAATACACACACACACACATATATATATAATGAATTTTATATTGCTCCAGCTTAATAATTTAATTAATTTAAAAATTTCTAGACATCTCCCTTTGCTGTTTTGACACATGAAAATAATATTAATAAAAATCATTTACCGTCGCTGGAGCTGTGTCGACTTGCCTTCCGCCATGGTTGGATACTAAAACTGCTGAAGCTCCGGCTAGTACGGCCCTTTTCGCATCATCTCCTGAAAGTGTACATGTGCTTATCAATCCCCACTGTTATCTTTGATATTTATGCATATTTATAGTGAAGTAAAATGCCGGAACGTAAATTAAATAAAATAAATATAAATTTTGCTCCCAAAAATATATAAAGGTCAACCTATATTTATTTCTGGGAAATGGTTACAAAAGTTGAGTAGCATAAATGAAAAGTACAAAGCAAAAGACGTAGCTGATTAAAGAAAATCTGAAAATACCGAGCAAGATACACTAAAAATGCGAAGTGCAATAAAATTACCATTTGAGACTTTATGCTGCTTTTTCAATTCATTAATCATAAATTTTAAAATGATATTTCGAATGCGCCTCAAATGAGCCCAGATCTTTCCCTTACACACATTCGTACTCCAAGAAACATATATATGTGTATGAATATATATAATTTGTAAAGAAATACAAGGAGAAATATGTATCAGATAAAAAACATAAACTGAAAACTGTAAGGATCTTAAGTTTTACTAACGTTTATTTTATTTTAAATCTTTACTATCACTTCTTATTTTCTACTTCCGGCCAGAATTAAAAGCGTTAACTTATTTATGCAAAATTTGTCTGGCGAACGCCAAGTACTTAAGTTGTGGCTTTTTGCCAAGCGAGAGAGAGGAAGCAGTTAGTCGAAGCAGGCCGCTTACCTTAGAAGTTTTACTCGGTTGCTGTTTGCCTTCCAGGCCAGAGGTTTAATCCTCGTGATAATTTTTAAACGTATTGTAGTGTTAACAGTTCTCTGTACTACATACGGCTTCCTGTTAATATAAGGCCAATCTTCCACGTTTATTATTCCAAAGTTAAGTTAGAGTTTAGTTATATTTTTATATTCTTACGTTCAGACCACAAGTAGTTGGTCTCTGTATTCCGAAGTACGGAAATTATTGTAAAGAGTGAAAAATAAAGGGTTTTGTATACCCTTCCTGTGTATCTTGTCTACTTCCCACAGTTATTGAACATAGCTTTAGTAAGCTCCGTGTTCCGAGTCAGGTCTGTGCATGTTCCCAAAGAAAGTAAGACGGAACATTGAACCTGATAAAACTACTCATTTTAATTTGGGTATTTCTCTCCGCATTCTAAAAATATCAATAAAGATTTCTAAACTGGCCACTGAAAAACTAACCTGTATCATGTGACCTTCACTGTGTATATCTCTTGGCCAATCACTGTTCAAAACGTAACCAAAAGTTACAAATTCTGCCATATAAAGCCTTGTTAAAACCGCACACTAACTTTTTCTACTCGTTTTTGCCTGGCTCGCTCATGTGTCGCCGTTTCGCTGTATCGTCCAGAAAAGTGTGGTAAGTGCATACAGATGTGTAGAGTGCTTGTAGCACCAACAGTGATGTAAAAAGGATACTATATGTCATAAGGAATAATTCATGAAAGGAAAAATGTGTCTTGTTATCCATAAAACATTCCACGTCTACAAATTTCTTTTACTACCACGAAATTAAGCAAGCACCATCTATACCTGACGTCCACCATTACAGTTATTTCTGTATTCTGGCCTGCATTCCCAGTTCTTTACATTACATAAAATGATCCAGCAGTATGTTAGCCGCTGCCGCAATTACCATGAATATCATAAATCATAAAATCAAATATCAAAAGGAGTAAAGCAAAAAAGTGAGTGTGCATTTCAGCAAGACTTATATATAAATTTCAGCAAGACTTATATATATAAGATTTGGAATTCCGTTTTCTAAGTTTTGAAACGGTGGTTGACATAATGCAGGTTACTTTTCCTGTAGCTCAGTTTAGAAAAAGTTATTAGTATTTTTAGAACAAAGAGGGAAAAATACCAAATTAAAATAAGTAGTTGTTGAGTTTCGCATTTTTTTATCTTACTCTCTCTCTCACACACACACATATATATATGTATGTAAGATATAATGAAATATGATAGATGTTTCAAAAAATAATTGGCGACCTCAAACTTAACATTCTAAATTTGGTGATCTGCCCCTAAATTCATCTCTTCTCACAGGTTCAAGATTTTTCTATCTTACATAACGTGTTAATGCAGATGTCTCTCTTGTCCAATCAAATTAATTGTAAGCTGAAACTTTACCACTCCCAACCTTCTTCCTCTGAAGGTACTATAACTCTTTCCCTTTTCCGCGTAAGCTCTCCTGCCAGCAAGATGCTTTTCATGTATGCTGCTGCCGCTTACTTGCTTAAAGCGACGTCTTACTTCAAAATGCAACTTACTCTATTCAAATATAATTAGGAAACATCTTGTCTGAAAAAAGATGATTTGATATGCGTAAAAAAATAAAGGATATGATTTTTCAAGATATGTTGTGCTAAATTGCGTCATCATGCTTTCCACTCTGCCACCCTCAACCCACTGCGGTATTCTCGATCATCTACGCAGTATCGTAAGCTGTTAAAAGTTATACTGCCTTCATCTACGCATTTTTAAATCATTACATGTATGCATGTATAGTTCAAAATACGACTCTCTAATATAAGAAATATTATTACAATTTTAAGGCAAATTAAAAAAATAAAGTGCAAATTTCATTTATTTTTTATTAGAACGTAAGGCAAACTACGCAGTTAAATACAATATTTTACTATGATATAGAAAGACAAAAAAGTTCAAAAAATTTAATAATGCAATATTACTTATTTCTTTTCAGACATATCAGTACAAAATCGCTCATCAAAACATGGCTATCATAACCAACTTTTTTATGCTTTTTATGTGAACTGGCTCCCAAAATTTAAGCATGCAATGTAAAGTAGCAATTTTCGAAAGTGTAGTGGAATTTAGGCACAATAAAATCGCTGTTTTAGTAAATGGCAGTAGGAAAATACTGTACGTTACAGTCAATCGCAACTGACTGCCCAAACATATGCTAATTAGGCAGTTGTTGAAGACAGCAGCAGGGGTTTCTGAAGGGTTTGAGGAGATTCACTTAAATGTTTACATGAAATATGCATATAACTTTCAAATTATAATTTTTGATGATCGTGTTTCTGTGACTAAAAGAAGACAAATGGGGATAATGCTATCGGACGTATTGAAACAGGACAATAAAAAATGTCGTTTATTTTCTTTGGCGTTGTTCAATTAGTAATTTGTGGAATTTGGTAAAACAATCCCAAACAAGCAAAAGAATAGTCCGGAGACCTGCCCATTCGACCAAGGGTTACCACCCCCTTCTAAAAATCGGTACATTTCTATAATAGTAGCAAAATCATCACGCGTTATCCGCAACTGTTGCATCCATAGTTGCAACATTGCTTGGTAAGATAGTATCTGCTAATATTATAGACCGAAGGTTTCACATGAAAGATTGTACGCCTGAGTACTGAGTGTTTGCTTTCTATTAACTGCTCAGTGCAGATTATTACAACATCAAAGTAGTGTTGTCATCTCAAGTCTGTCTGAGCTTAGCGCAACATCCTGTTCACGAATGGGTTAAGATTTGCTGTGGAATAAGATGACAAGCATATAAGAGTCTGGAGAGAACGCTTCATATAGATCAGGCCCAAGCTCGACTATAGAACACTCTCGAACATAATGCATTCAGATGTTGCTGCATCATGCTATTGACTGGAATTTCAATGAGGTATAGAACCCAGCTGCACATCTTAAAAGATGGTTCTATGACGTTTGCGTGGTATCGCAATGAAGTCCTATACCTCATTACGAGGCTCTATGCTGTAGCAATTGGGTTTGATTTGCTGCTGATGGAGGATAACGTCTGTATCCGTAGAAAAAACATCATTAATGAGTACTTGAACCACCGTGATTAAGTCCTACAGCCCATTGTGAGGCTCTAGGGTGCACCAGGTTGCCCTGATTTCCTTCTTATGAAAGATAATGCGCACACCAATCGAAATAACATCGTTAATTGGTACATGGACTGTGATAATTTTCTCTTATGGAGTAGCCGTCATATTTTCCTCTACGTTTATCCCACTGAAATCTTCGCAATACCCTTATTAATGTATGTTTTATTTGTCTATTTTTAACCTTTAACTGCTGTGAGCGGTCTGAGAGACCGCTGAGGATTTTCTAACCGACGTTTCCACCCCTAAAAACAGGGAATGATCCCTGTCCTTCCTCCTACCTTCCAAAACTAGTCCCACAAGGTCACACATCCAGTTCAAACTTCTAGCTTTATTACAGATTCAGTTACTAAGTTTTTTACCTTTTAAGTAGTCTGGGAGACCGTTCACAGCAGATGCGTACCTCTCTTAGTGGACGATGGGCGTTATTTATCGGATGCTTGTTTTTTCGTAAAAGTGATAAATATGGCTTCAAATTTTACTAGAAAACGGCCCGTATGTATGACTAAAAAAGAAACTGAATATCTTGTCAATATATATATATATATTTTTTAATGTAGAATGCTCTGATTCTAAAGAATCATGTGCGTTCACAGCGAAAGCACAATCTGAGCTTTCCGCAAATGAATATGATAATTTTTCTAATGACTGTGAACAAAATGATAACTTTTATGGAAAAAAAAATCACTTCAAATGGTGCAAAAAAGAGCCAAATCGGGCGGTACGAACACCAAAGCATAACATAATTATTCAGCTCCCTAGTTTGAAACATCCTGCAAAAATAGGCTCTGCCGAAGATGCTTGGAATTTATGTTCATACGTATTATTTCAGTGATATCCTGATGTTACACAACTGAAAAGAAAAAATTGTATGCTTTTATTAGCTAATCAACTTATTAAACCGTATCTGAAAGTTAGGATAACTGCCACTTTTCTTCTTACGGTAACTGAAGGTAACAATTAAAAGAATCTTTGGACAGAATGAAATTAAGAAAAATGTGTTTCGACTGCGAATCATCTTATGATTTATTATTGTAAACATAGGTATACTAATCTATTAATAATTTATAATTAAATTTCTTGTTATAGATTTGTGGTTTAATTGACAGTAAGTCACACATTTTCATGCATGCTTAATAAAATCTTTATTCTTTAAAACGGAGAAAATAGT